ACGTGATATGGGATATGCTGAGTATGGGGAATATTTGGGGACAACCCAAGAGAAGAGGATCTTATGAGACATGAGATAGAGAAAAAGAGGGGATAGCATCTCTAGGTAATGAAAAAGGGTTAGAGATGTGCGTTACTCTTGTTTAAAAAATGAGGAATTAGCATTTAGAGAATCATAAACTATGCGCCAACTTAACTTGGGGAGAGATCACCTTCTTGTGTTTCATGATTTTGGCTTCTTTGTGATCAAAGAAAGCAATATATAGTTTAATCTTAAATCATCAATAATCAATATCAATACACACACACTAAAGTATAATAAATTTTCTTTGCGGATGAATAGTTCTTTGAACACTAACATTTTATTTGCATATTAATTTGGTGTTACCAAAAATATTCCCCGCTGGCTAGCTAGAGAAACTATATATACTCTTTGAGGGTCGGAAGGACAGATAGGCACCCCAACCACTCATATCAACATCAATAATTGCATAGCAATATTCATATTTACTCATACATTATGCATTGCTAGGTACATTAACCTATCAAATTGGGGCATAATGATTCAATTAACCATGAAAATCAAAAGTTTGACATATAAGTAAAAGTATACATATTCATAGCTCTATCGTTATAAATAACAGTGCCCCTTGTCTGAATAAACGTTACAATGAATCATAAGCGATAAATGTTTTTTTTTTTTGGGCGAGAACCATAAATAACCCATTAAAATTTATTAGAATATATCGTCATAAAATTGTCTTTTAAAATTGCATTGAAACAACTTCTTGTCCACACTTAACTTCTGAATTAGAATGATTACTTTGATTCAATTTGTCTGGCAATTATATGGGACCAAACCACTTCAAATGAAAAACAGGTATCTGAGAAAAGTTAAAATAATTGGTTCAAATCACTCTAGAACCAATTGAAAACTGGCGAGGGTGACTGGTTGCATTGTTACCAATTTTTAATTTTTTTTAAGTTACATTTTATGCACATTTATACAATACATAATTATTGGAAAAGAAATACTGACAAGTAAACATGCGAGAAACCTGAAGAAATATTATAAATTATAAAATTATAAAATAAGTGCAAACATTATGAAAATATGGGTTAATAAGCAATTTAGACCCTAAACTATAAGTCTAAGGGTGATTTGAATTATAAACTTTAAAAAAAGTATATTTTGAGCCTTAAACAATTAAAGTTAAGACATTTTTGTCTCTACCATTAACTTTCAACAAACGTCCGTCAAATTCATTTAAAAAAAATTACACTTTAAGCTTCAATTTAATAAAAGCTTGTTGAATGTTAACAGTAAGGGCAAAAATTACGCTAACTTTAATTATTTAGAGTTTAGAATGCATATTTTTAAAGTGTAGGGTTCAAATCGCCTCTAATCCTATAGTTTAAGGTCTAAATTGCATATTAACTCTTTTGTATTTTAAAAAATGCATTCTAATTAATAATAATTCAACAATAACAAAAAAATGTGTATTTTGCATATTATGTCAATTTTTAAAAATATTTTAAAGGAGTATATAAGTTTTGGGTTTGAATTGATTGATGAAAGTAAAAATTCATAAAATAAAACCAAATGCTTTTATGATAAATAAAGAGATAGAAAAATAAGCGTATGAAGAAGAATCTATCCTAAATTTTTCCTTAACAAGGAATGGTAATATTTTTTTCACTGATATTGTTATGAGATTCCATTAGGCCAAGGAACAAACAAGAAAAAAATATGAAAGCGTGCTCATAGTGAAATATCATATTATGCTCATATTGCTGTCACTGATAACTTATCAAAACCCCACCCATCAAGAATAAAAATAATTAACTCAACACCATTTCATTCATACCTACCATAATCTCCACAAAAATTACTTTACTCATTGTTATAATTTATAGCCTTCTTTTATATAGTTTTATCATCATTATCATTATCATTATTTATCTTTTTTTTATTCCTTCTTCTCATATCCTAAAAAACTTGTAATATTATCACCGATTAATATACAATAGAACCTTAAGCTTTTAAAAAAGTATATTCTAAACCCTAAATGATTAAAATTAGGGCAATTTCACCTCTATCGTTAACTTTTAACAAACGTCCATCGAATTGAAATTTAAAGTATAATTTTTTTAAATAAATTTGATGGACGCTTATTAAAAGTTAATGGCAGGGCGAAATTACTCCAACTTTAATTATTTAAGATTTAAAATGTACTTTTTTAAAATTTAGGATTCAAATCAACCTTAGACCTATAGTTCAAATTCTAAATTATATATTAACCCTAAAAATATTACATATCATAATTATTTAATTTTTATCTTTGCTCATTCTATATTTTAAATTAAATTTATTATTATTTTAATTTTAAAACAATTTTTTTCCATATTTTTGTTATCATTTTTTCTTTTTAAATTAAAATAATTAGCATATATTTTAACAATTTAATCCCGATCAATTTGCTGACGCTTGGATAATTAAATTATGAATTAGTATCAATTGGTTTAAAATCTGATCCAACTTTTACGACATAATGTTTGATTTGGTATTAGACTATAAGTAAAATATTTTTTTGTCCAAAAATTGAAATGCATAATTTGTAGTCGTATCAAATTCTTCCCTTTTTTTTCCCCGGACAAAGTCTAAAATTTTCAGGTAAGCAGAATTTGCGCTAATTAACACAATTTATTGTGTCAAACTCGAAGAGACTGCTCGGTTTTGAGATCATAACATTTTTATCTTTAATATGTAATTAAATGAGGATTTTTTTTTTTTGGGGTTTCTCATGATTATCAATTCATTACGTCATAACAAAAGACAACATTACGTTAAGAGCATACCAGAACTATAGCCCATAGTACTTAAGAAGTTACTCCACAAACAATTAACTCTACAGAACAAAAGTAGACATCATAGAAACATTCATAATGACAACACACAATAATAGACAAAGTACTCACAGACACCCAGTAATACGACGCATACAAACAAACGCCACATGATCAGCACCAACAATAATGAAATGAAAAGTCGGAAATATAATTAGCCAATTTTTTCATCAACATATATAAAATAAAATTCAAGAAACATATGTAACAATAAATCCAATTGCCCTCTTATGCTGAGGGAGAAAATGAGATTGAAAGCGTTTGGCTTCGTGTTACTTTTGTCAAAATGTAGTTTTAATTAAAATAATGTGAAAATAACTTTTAGTTAAAACAACAATTTTTCGATCGTTCAATGCTAAGGTTTATTGTGACTCGTCTGAAGCTATCAAGCTCATCATCCTCAGTAAACATGATTAGAGTCACTTAGTTATATTGTGATTATTAGGAATCTTATGATGAGTGATTGGGCTATTACTCTTGACTATTTCGTTCATTTAGAGAGGCAATCTTAGTGCATATTAGCTTGCATGCCATGCTCATTGTCATAATTTTGACGTTGATGTCCTCAATGATTCCCTAAATTACAGGAAGATCCATGTCTCTGATATGACTTAATATATCGTCGCTTGGGTCGTTTCGTGGCCTTTTTATTAACAAAAAGACCCCACATTTTAACAACATCAACATGAATCAAATACACTTTTCATTGCAATCACTCAAAATGGGGAAAAACAAAGGGTGGGTTTATTCATTCTGCAAACACGCACCAAGGTTTTATAGCTAGTAATATGATTTATGTCAGAAGTTATTTTTTAATGTTGATTCAATGTACGCCTTAGCTCTGATTTAAATACAACATGACAAAATTAAAATTACAATAGACGTGATGATTTATCTATTATATCTTTTTTAGATAAATTTATTCATTTATATACAAAAATGTGACATCGTGCTTAAACGATCATTGCCAAAAGATGAACTAGTTGATAAGTATTTGGCCAAAAAAAAAAAAGTTCCTAAGTAAGTCATTTATTTCATATTAAAAATTACAAAATAAATTTAAAAAAATGGGATGTTAAGGGAGGTGTCCCTTCTTAACATTAGGGCACGGGACTTGGATATTCTTGTCCCGTCTTAAAAAAAAGTGAAATTAAAGTTTTGTCATGTGTCCCGCCTCATTAAGAATCAAGATGGGGCATAGACAAGATTATGATATCTTGCAGTCTCGATAAATCGAACAATGTAAAAGAAATGTTTGGATAATAATATTTATTAAAATTTTAAATTGCATAATTTATTAAGTTTAAAATTAAAATAATATGAGCACATAAATCACAACAATTTAAAATTAATTGTTGAGTTATATCAATCACAACTACTAGTGTATAATATTATGGTAACAATTAGAAGCAATCTTTAAGCTATAAGAATAACAACAACAGATAAGCTAAGCATAACATTAAGTTATTATTATTTTTATTTAGTTGAGACATGCTAAATTAATTGCTCTTCTAAAAATAAAAGTAAAAAATACAATATAAATAAATATTATTAAATAAATAGATATAAGAATAAATTACATTAATATAATTAATAACTTATAAAAAAATATTACCATGTACTATAATAAATTATAAAAAAAGATATTATCATGTACTTTTTACTCTGTGTCATTAAAATTATTAATATAAAAAAATTTAATTTTAAATAAGAATTGTATATATTAAAATTATAATTAATATGAATATAAATTATACTAATATATTTAATATATATTTTTAAAATAAAAAATAATATTCAAAATAAGATAAGATGTTTTGAGAATAAATTTCGTGTTCCATCTCATCCTGAATTTTTTTTTCATCCCATTTTATAAAGTTCCATCTAATTGTTTTTGATTCAAGAGGAGCCACATCTTAACATGATCAAGATGAAATTCAGCCAATTGAAATGGTTTTAAGGTGAATGCCCCCACTTAACATGATTTTTCTCCTTAGACAATTCCAATTTCAACCAAATATTCATTTACTTTTGGAATCACCAGAACGGCAAAATCTTTTTGGCATTATTGCTTTCGTTTTTGGTTCTGTAACTACGGATGCTCAACCAGCTTCCTTCATCTCTCTTCTTTTACCCTAAAAAAAGGCACATGTCGGCTTCTACATAAAGCTCACCTCCTTCACTACTCTCCTGCCATCCCTTACACTTTGTGCCATTGTACACTTTCTCCTTCTCTTTCCCCCTCTATAGTGCTCATCTGGGTTTCTCATTTTGTTCGTAATGCTCCATAAAGTTAATTTCTTTCAATCCTTCTGCTGAACACTAATTTGATGAGGAGGTTTCGTTCGATTTTATCAGCATTTTAAGGTCCTTCAATGGCAGACAACGTGGACCCTGCGACTTCAAACCTTCTGTGTTTGGAAAACAGTAATACGTGCTTTGACAATTCCGAATGTAATACCGGGGATGAGTTTGGAATTTCTTTTAACCAACAAAACGATAGCGGACGCCATCATAGTCCACCTTGGGATAGCCATGGATCCGGGTCCTTCGTGTGTTTTCCGATACAGAGTGACGAAAGAGTCAGGCTAATGGTTAAGAGGGAGAAAGAGCATTTGCCCAGAAGTGATTACCTGGAGAGGCTGCGTAGTGGAGACCTGGAGTTGAGTGTTAGGAGAGCGGCTCTTGATTGGATTTTGAAGGTCGGTTTCGTTAATTTTTCTAATGTTATTGTGGGTTTATGCTTCTTTGATTCATTAGAAATTGTCTTGCACCATGTTCCCCTTCTCATTCGGAGAACAGGATTTAAGATCAATGTTCTTGTTTATATTGACTCTTAAGCTTGTAAATGAATTACTTCTAACGCAGTTCATCTCATCGGAAACAGTCGGCTCTCAAGTCTCGTTTTCTCCAATAGTAATCGATTTACAATGTCTAGCTTTCTGGTTGGATTTCAATTGGATTCTGCTAAATTTTCCTGTGATTTTCTCTGTTTTGCAAAACTCGAAATTGATGATGGGGCAGTGGTATTAGTGTCTAGTCCTGAACTGATCTTGCAGCAACTTGTCGACATTCTAAACTGGATTTGCATTTTCCTTCTTTCTTTGCTTGTCTGTTCTTTCACTTCTGTGATTTTCTTTCTTCATTTCTGGTCGTTACACTGATCAAATCCTTTTTCTTGCCATTGGTTGGGCACTTCTCTCGGTAATTCTAATTTGTGTTGTGTGATTAACAGGCACATGCCTATTATGGTTTTAGTCCATTGAGCTTTTGTCTATCTATGAACTACTTGGATCGCTTCCTATCATTATATGAGTTGCCTGTAAGATCCAATGCCTAAGCTAAGCATTCTTTGTCTTGTTTACTTCTTTTGTTGGTGTGATTTCTTTCTGATGGTCTAATGTCTTTCTATTTGGTTTTGCTGCTCTATTCTCTTGGTCTATTTAGAGAGAAAAATCTTGGACCGTGCAATTGCTAGCTGTGGCTTGTTTGTCATTGGCAGCTAAAATGGAGGAAATTGAAGTACCTCTCTTAGTAGATTTACAGGTGAACAATCATGTTATTTCTTAAGATGGTTATAGCCTTTTTTCTTTGTCCTTGCCTCTAATTTTCCTAATGATACTTGAAATGGGTAGGTTGGAGAACCAAAGTTTGTATTTGAAGCAAAAACCATTGAAAGAATGGAGCTACTAGTGTTAAGCACATTGAGATGGAAAATGCAGGCTTTAACTCCTTGTTCCTTCATAGACTACTTCCTCAGTAAACTCACAACTGGGAAGCATCCAAGTAATTCATCCATTTCAAGATCAATACAGCTCGTAGTTGGCACAGTTAGGGGTATCTCCTAAATTCTATTTCAATATCTTGGCCTTTTGTAGATTTCTGTTCTTGAAGAGTAATGGGTTTAAACAGTGCTCGTTGGGAAATCAATGCAGGTATTGACTTCTTGGATTTCATGCCATCTGAAATTGCTGCAGCAGTGGCCATTTCTGTTACAAAGGAACTGCAAACAATCGAGATTGACAAGGTCATCTCTGGGTTAATGATGGAGGAAAAGGTAAACTCGGTGGTTCCCACACAACAAACAGAATAAAACGACAAATTTACTTTTTCTCTGGGAAAGTAAATAATTATGCGTGTGTCTGTGGCATGACCCTCCTTAGATGAATACTGAATTGTCCTGTATCTTGAATTCCATTGTGTTTTCTGGTTGCAGAGAGTCCTCAAGTGTCTTGAACTGATAAGAGATTTGTCCTTGATGAGTGTTTCTGCAAGTTTGAGCAGAAACTTGATGCCATTGGTGCCCCAAAGCCCAGACGGGGTGCTGGATGCTGCATGCTTGAGCTACAAAAGTGATGAATTAACTGTTGGGTCATATCAAAACTCTTCACACGATACTTGTAATGCTAAGAGGACCAGATCAGACAGACCTTCTTCTGATGGGACTTTCAAGTCATAAAATGAAAGTTTCTTCATTCACCAAAGTTGAATTATTAGTTTGGTTGAGTGGGAGTTTGGTGTGGCCTTGGAATTAAAGGGTATCCCCCTCTGACACACTAGTGGGAAACAAGAGTGTGTTTTGGGTGAGTAAGAGAAATTTAGTAGGTATCATGCTTGCAGCATGAACAAGATAAGTTACTACCTATTCATAATCAGATTCATAAACAGCTAAAAATGGTTTGGAGGTGTGGATGATGAAGGCAATTTTGATGAATCAATGTGTTGTTGAAGGCCAGCATGACAACTATGAAGTTGCTATTTAGTGAAAATCTGTTAGTATTATCATTATCGTCATATTGTTATTATTGGGCTGTAATTTCATTTCAGGAGGAAGAGAAGGAATATATGGAGGTAATTTTTGTTGATGTTTTTATGTGTTTTATGGTAAACATAAATACATCAGTTATAATAAAAAAATTTCTTCATAAACTAGAAGTTTTAAATTCCAATATGATTGCACATATTCACATTTGTTGGGGCAATCTAACAAATAGTTTGGTCATGAGAAATTTGTGTTCAGTCAGTTTAAGATTGTATTATTAATGAATAATAAAATTAGCAAGCTAATTTTAAATTTTAAAGTGATGTTGTAATTTATTTCTCAGAGACAGATGATTTTACTTTTGAAACAAATGGAGAGTATGTTGAACATATAAACAAAAACAAATGAAAGGTTAGTTTAGTTATATTAACAAGAATAGTGCAATTTGCTTTTCGAGGAAAATGGGTAGTTAAAACAAATGCGCGCTTGCTTTTCGGTTTCAGACATGTGTTTGGAAAAGCTACAATTTTTTGAAATTTAAAGAATGAGATTCAAATAAATTAAAAAAATATGATTTTAAGCCTTTATATTTTGCTCGCATTTTTCTATTAATTTTTATATTTTTTTTTTTGGTTTTACATCTCCATCTTTTATTTTTTATTTTAGGTCCTTACACTTTGTTAATTTATTTATGAAAGGGTTTAAAACACTAAAAAATAAAAATATTAAGATCTAAACAATCAAAAAAAGTGTAAGAATTAATAATAAAATTTGAGTAAAATATAGAGATTCAAAGTTATATTTTATTTATAAATTATATATGTTTTTTAAGGTTGGGGTTAAGTATGAAGTGTGAGATTCATATAAAGATAATGTTATCAAGTTTTTCTTAATAGAGGAATAATAGTATTCCCTTCATTAAAAAATATAAAATATTTTTAATTGAATCTTACTTCTCAATAAATAGTTACCTATTTTTAAACTAATCATATTTTTTTATTTACTCATATTAAATATCCTATAATAAATATAAAGTCATTATTAATAGAGATATTTTTGAAAAAAAGATGATTATATCTTAGAAAACTAAAAATACTTTATATTTTTTAACATTCAACTCTTCAAAAAATATCTTATTAGTTTAAATAGAGGGAGCATAATTTAAAAAATTTCATATTCAATGTAGTCCTGCATCTTGCATGCAATAAAAATGAAAATGAAAATATTGCCACAAATAAATGAAAATGAAAATGAAAATGAAACTTGATTATGCACACTCGGTCAGCACTAGAAAGGATATAGGGATTGGAAACCACTAGTATAGGACCCACAGGTTCTGAGCGAAGCAAGAAGGCTACGTGGCCCTCCTCCAGCTCTTTGTTTTGAGTGATTGACCAGTCAAACTCCTATGTTTTAAAAGAGGTTTTTATTATAACTTTGCTCTTTTAAGTATATTTTATTAGAAAAAAGTACACTGTGCATACTGCATAAAGCATGCATAGTTATTTATATTCTAATCTCTGCACGGCAATGCAACTGTTTTATGGCAAAATAACAACTACAATAATGAAACAGAATGCTCCCTTCATTAAAAAAAAAAAAAATATTTTTAATTAAATTTTACTTTTTAATAAAATAGTTACCTAATTAATTCTATCTTTTTATATTTATCTCTATAAAACACCCTACAATAAATATAAAATTATTAATTAATAGAGGTAGCTTTAAAAAAGGACAATGATTACACTTCAAAGATTAAAAATGTCTTATATTTTTAAATATCTAACTCTTTAAAAAATGCCTTATATTTTTAAACGAAAAGAGTATTTTTTTGGCCATAAATAATAATCAGATATTTAAAAAAAATTAAAATAAGCTAAACAGCTAAGCATGGTCAGATTGATTAATCGTAATCAAAACCATAATAACTAATGACATTGTACAAAATATACATATAATGGATCCCAATACCCGGATATGCATCGCATATGCATGAAGAACTACCACAAGTGGGAACTGACAATTCCCTTGAAATTCTAAAATCATAATTAATCCTCCAAATTATAAACTAATAAAATCCCGTTTGATCAGCTCATACTTTATTTGTTTTACTAATTATATTTGTGATTATGTTCCCATCTACTACCATAGACACATGGCTTAGCTAAAAATTGAAAATAAGTATCTAAACTTCATATTTGAATTTGGCAAGTGACTTAAGTTCATTCATTTAATAAGTGTCTCATGTGGCACCATAATAACCATTCAATTTAATCAAATAATTATAAGAGATTTTGTCATATAATATTTAAAAAGTACTAGGTTTTAAATTTTTGGAGGGAATGACATATGTAAGGTGTGTTTTCACTATAGTAAAAATTGATTTGTCGTGTAATTTTTAAGCACTGATAAAATCTAATGACTATAATTAAAATACTTATTATGTGAGTGGACTTATACCACTTACCTAATCAAAATCCCTAAACTTGCAGTGTTGATGAAGAGACAAATTAAGGACCCTTCTTGATTAATGTGTATTTTCATTCATATTCTCTTCGGTGGCGAATATAAATTTTGTTTTCACACTCCTCATAGCTTAAAAATTAAAGACGAATCAACATGTCTGTTTCTGACGAGATTATGGACAAAGTTGAAACATGAACAAAAGTGTTTCTTAATCACCAAAGACAATAATTTGTAAGGAACGATAAGCATTGCCTGAGTTGAAGCTCTATAGCACTTATTCAAAATAATTTAAGTTCTCTCAAAATCATGTTCTTTATTACAATACACTCACGAGGATAAGAGATTATTCGATATGCAGAATTAGAATGCCACTTTTTACTATATTTATAGGGCAGCTATTAGATATACCAATTGGCTTGCCTATCAATCATCCCATGATACTTTTGATTCCAAGCTTTTTTATGATCCATCTTTAAGGTGTAAATTTTTTTTAAATTCTCATATGACTTGATTTTGTTGTCTCTTGCGTAGATTTTTTCGTGGCCTTTAATTCAAAAAGAAGAAGTATAACATGATTGGTCGAGTCTCGTTCTCATATACTCAAATCCACTCACTTTGTACGAAGGCAGAATTCAAGTTGTCTTCAACTCAAAATCGTAATATAAAAACAAACAGCACATCAAGAATTGGTAAGAGAATAACCAGAAAGAATTATACTTGGATCTGGATGGATGGAGTTTGATTTTGATGCAGAGAAATCTCAAGAAAGGGAGAGAAATAAGATGGAGAATAAGGTTGATTTTCCTTTATAATGGTGTCAGTATTTCTGGTCCGAGTCTCTCGCTCTGTGTATGCTAAATGCATGTGAGCAGCGTTAGGTAATGGGGACAGAACAGTGTACTGCCAACACTGACTGAGGTTGTTGAAAGTTTTACAGCTTTGAGTCAATGGAGTGACGAAGCCCCTCTCTCCCCCCTCTCATCTCATACACATGCTCGTCATCATCTTGTGTTTTTTAACATCTAAAAAGATTAGGTTTTCGCTCTTACATACTGCTTTCTCATAAACTAAACGCGATACTCCATGTTAAGAATTGATTGTTCTGAACACAGTTCATTATGGATGGATAGTATATGTGAGGGTTCTGAAAGGGTCGTGCAGAGAAAGGACAAAAATGAGAAGCATCAGGATTGATTGTTGATTTGGTTGAGCCACAGATGAGTTGAATTGATTATTGATGGAGAGAGAGAGAGAGAGAGAAAGAGAGAGGTTTGACTCATGAAATTAAAAGGCACAAAAGAAGGAAGCAAGCTTTGTACTGCGCAGGACTGGAGGGAGAGAAAGAGCAGAGAGCAGAAGAATGAAGATGGAAAAAGATGATTCTTATATGCCCAGAAAAAGATCAGTGCTTTTGATTACTCTCGTCTTCTTTCTGGCCTCTTTTTATTGATACGATGCAGAAACTGAGGCACAAGCATATTCCCTCACAACCCCTCGTACTTTTATCATTTTATGTCGCTTTTTTTAATTATTCAAATCAAATTAAAAAGGCGACATTTTTTTCGAAGTTTAATTCACAAATGTTTTTTTTTTCCTGGTGCAGTTATGGGTTGGGGACATGTTACAAAACTAACTAGAGTGACATCTTCCATGTAAACCGCTTGGCATGAATACGCTTGATGATTCGCAGGATATTGTCAAATAACATCACAAATATATAGAATATTCATTTTTTTCAAAAAAAAAAAACAGAGAATAAAAAAGGGATTCAAAATATAATATAATTGATCTGACAACAGTACATTGATGGAATAATTATTCGCTTGTAGTTATCCACTGGGTTAGCATGGGAACAAGAACACGACACAAATAATGTGAATCTGCAAAGAATTTGAGCACTGATGTACAGGCCCTGCGTCTGACGAGTCTCCAAATAATGATTCTCTTCTTTTATTTTCCTTACACAATATGTATGTGTTAGGTTATCTAAGTTTGGCTGGAGATAAGATAATATAAGAAGTCTCACGTTATATAAAGTTGGATTTAATAATTATAAAGAGAAATATGTTATTTTCCATTAAAGTTTTTCGCTAAATAATTTCTTGAAAATGAAATTAAATTTTCTTACAAAATTTTTTGCTAATACAACTATTTAAAAAGGAATATATAAGGCTTCGTTAAATTTTCTCGCTAATCTAACTTTTTTTAATAGCGGGACTTGTCAAAATTTTTTTTTCATATACTTAAAAGTATATGAAAAAAAAATTTTGACAAGTCCCGCTATTAAAAAAAGTTAGATTAGCGAGAAAATTTAACGAAGCCTTATATATTCCTTTTTAAATAGTTGTATTAGCAAAAAATTTTGTAAGAAAATTTAATTTCATTTTCAAGAAATTATTTAGCGAAAAACTTTAATGGGAAATAACATATTTCTCTTTAATTTCTCTTTAATTTTCAAGAATCTATAAATTTGAGTATTAAGATTTTTAGTTAAGATATACGTCCTTCAACTACTCTTGCTTGTCCCTCCTCAAAGCTACATTTTACTCAGGACCTGTGAGTCCATTATTGTACACACATTTGAAGCCTAAAAATGAGACTAGCTTTGATTGTAATAGGGACTTGTGTGCGCCACACCATTTTAAGCCTGAAAATTGGGCTTGCCTTAAAAAAAAAAGGACTTAGTCAGTGGACATAAGATGATGTGAGAAGTCTCACATCAGATAAAGTTGGACTTAATAACTAATACTTCATCCAATCCACTTTATTAGTCACCTTCTAGAAATGTAAAGTGGTCCACTTTATAAGTTATTAGATTAATAGTGATATTTTATTTCAAATAAAATGTTTAAATTACCTTTAAAAAGTCAGAGAGAGAGAGATAAAAATGATATTATATAGTTTATTTACTTTTTGAGAGTTATATTTATAATTTTACTAAATGTTATTTTTTACAATTTTGTTGTATTGATATTGATTAGATTGGTAAAAATAATTTATAAATAGGACTAGACGGAGTATACAGTAAAAAGGAAGAACCCATAAACTTAAGCATTGAGGTTTTAAATTAAGATGTAGCGTTCTTCCACTGCTCTTGTCCGTCTCTCCTTTCCTCCGTTTTTGGGCAATCGCTTCTCATTCTTAACAGTATGAATAAATATAATAAAGATACAAGGAGATTATTTTCTCATTGTGATCTTACTCCATAAGCCTGGGGTTCATTGTTTCATCCTATAGTTTGGGATTGGTTTACAATCCTTCAAGTGAAGGATTTTTTTTTTAATATTTTATCATGTTCATCTTAATTCAAGTCTATCTATGTCAACAAGAATGTTTGAATACGAAAGACTATAAGTTTATTTATAGATGTGTTAAGATGTTAAATGTGAGTGAATTTGACTTGACATAAAAAGTCATACATTAGATAGAATTTTACTTATAAATGGCTGATCATATGTTGAGTGAAATGCATATCTCGAGTAAAATGATCTATAAATCCTCTTGTTTAATTTTTTTAGGTTAATATCATTTTCATTGCCTGGTATAAATGATGTGTCCCCCTATTATGCTGCGCCATAGTCGTACCATTAGGGGTATTCTCTTGAAGCTTTGTGGTGGGATTTGTTCACCATTAAAGACGACATTAGAGAAGACAATAATTATCGAGCTACTCTATTAACCAATACCGACTCTAGCAGATGACTGCTTCCATTTCTGAAGAGAAATTGAGATTAAAAAAATAATGGGTTATGAAAGATTAAAACTGGCTCTCGTTACACGTGGCAAATGATGTCCAGAATTCATCATGGATTTTATTTCCTCAAATAAATTAATCCTGGCTTGTCTGCTTTTAGACTAAAAACGAGTGGGGAGAAGCTTCAGGAAGCCTTGAACCCTCCATAAATGGCCTAGTAGTAGAGCCGGATTGGGCCTATTCGGGCAATGAGCACTTGACAATTGACAGGGACTAATTTGCAAAGTTTGAAATGTGTAAGGATGGGTTCGAGCAAAATAAAGTATTGGGACAATTTAATTGAAAGTCAAGGTTAACTCTAGGGACTAATTAAATAATGAATTTCCTAATTATTTTGAAAAGTTAGTATGTCATAAATTTGTATACGATCATTCAATAAAATAGCAATAATGAAACAACGAAAAGCAATGCTGCTTGCACGTCCGCGAGCTCGATGTTCTTGTCAACATTAATTAATGACAATCTTTTTCGAGCAAAATGATTTTTCTTGTTAGATATACACAATTATATCTAAATTAAGAAGGAAACAATATTGCCAACAAGAAAATTGAATAAATTAACAGCTATACAATTGAAAAAACTGAATAATACAAAAGATCTAATTAATTATTGTACATGACTTTAATGTTTTTTTTTTCACTTATAATCTTTTAGCAGTTGTAAAACTGAGGATCCGAATTGTCCCACGAGCCTAAATATAACTGGAGAAGGAGGGTCTCACTCAAAATAAAAATATCATCCATTGAAAAAGAGACACACACACACACCCCAAATCAAGTATGCCCTATTTCTTGATTGTGCTTTAAGGCCAACCCAACCCCATTTCCTTACACGCAAAGCATTTTTTTTTCAAAAGAAAAATAGTATATATAAGCATCTCGTTTCAAGTATCCCTTCATTTTCATGCGTTCCCAATATTCCTTCCCAGATAATTACATTTACATGTTAAATCATGCAAGGCTACTTTGTCTTATAATTTTGCATGAGCCAACTGAATTACCATCGCTAACTGTCATCTTCTCCTTAAGTTGCCCCAGGTCGTGTCATGTTCATTACAACTTGTAACAGGCCCCATCTCACCCAGTCCAAATCACCATGTTCATGTATAAATATGTAAACATGTCTCCTTATCGATCAGCTACACAGTTCAAGAATGAGCACCAACCTCAGCATGAACCAGTTGGTTAAATACACTGATCAGGCCGAGATTCAAGGTTCATTAATTACTTCTACTGATAAATTTCATAATTTCTTGTTGGCTTTGCTTATTACAAAATATCATTTGGGTTTTGCAGATTTTAACCGCGATGACAATGCTTGGTTTACCTCGATGCTTGACGTACAAAGAGTTCATTTCTTGTTTCCTAAGTTTCCTGATTTGCTTTAGAAGAGTATGGGTTTACCATGGGTTTAACATAAACTAATATTCTAATCTGCCATTGTTTTCATTTTCAAGCTCAGAATAATCACGCTCTGGGAGCGCCGTTGTCAGAGAAAGAGCTGAAGATACGAAGTGAGCTTGAAATGGAGGTGGAAAGGGACTTAGAACAAGAGATTAAAGACGGAATTTGCAATCTTTCTCTTAGACTTCACAGGCTCTATCAACGTCAGAAGGAGAGGCAGGTGAAAGAAGCATCTGAAGATAACAAAAGGAAAGCATTTTCTGAGGTGAACATCAGCATAAAAATGGAAGGGAAGACCAAAGTTGAAATCAAAGAGACAAAGAAAGAAGCGACTGAAAAGGATCATCGACGTTGGTGGATCAGTCACAGATCAGAAGATACGAAGCAAGTGTCTGGTCTCAATGGAAAGAAGGTTGATTGGGAGAAGACTCTGCGAGCGAGTTCAGGTACTGTTTCTGCAAACAAAATAAATGGAAACTATAAGCGTGAATCTGATAAAGGAAGGTCAAAGAATAAGGAAGGACGTCGTTCATCACCGGGACAAGTAAAAGGAGAAGGGAAGGTGGATCAGAAGCTTCTTCAGCTGGGATGGAAGGTTTAACGATTAATGTTTTGGTCTGTGAATATTGTTACTGTTTGCGTGTGTGATGATTTTGCTATGCTTACTTTATGATTACACGAGTGGATTGGAATGATCGATAACGTTTGTTGACCAAGAAAAGAAACAAGCATGGCACCCATGTGATGTTTCTTGATTGAAATTGAAATTAATAAAAACATTTTGGAGATTTTTAATAACGTTGTTTAAGTTAGACATAGTCAAGGTAACATATGGCACTAGAGATAGAGTTCTTAAAAGCAAATGTTGGTAAAATAAGAACAGCGTCTAGAGTGTCAATTATAGAGATTAGTATGTGCCTATATTATTAAGTGAAAAATGAACTGACTAATTTGTACAGCAAGGATTCTGGGCTCTCCAAGAGGCATGCTCACATAACTAATCCTGAACCATTGGATTCTTGATTCAACTAGCAAAGGAGTTATACTAATCTAATCAAAGGTCTCAAGTTGGAGTGAGAATGTAATATTGGTAATACAGCCCTTGCCTAAAAAGGTCTTGTCTCATCTTGATCCAAATTAGCTCATGTCCCAGGCTTAGAACACCTTTAAGGGTTAAAACACTAAGCAACCCGATGTATAGTAAATTAGGAGGAGGGAGCCCAGATGCAATAGGAGTACATTTTGTTGGGCCAATATGACAAAAGCGAGAAAGCCCAAGCACAGGAAAATGAGGTTGTTTAGGTAGGAGGAAGCAGGAGGGAAGGGAATTTGAAGGTGTAGGGAAAAGCAGTGAGGCATGAATCCGGAAAGCGAAAGCCATGCTGAATTCCTCGGAAACTGGTACCTTAACCTTTGGAATCCTTTGCCTTTTGTTTTTTGTTTTTTGTTTTTGTTTTTGTTTGGCTCTAGGGGATGAGACACTCATGATCCAAGCGAATCTTATGAGGTCCCCTCTTCTTCTGCTAGTTGTTTGTACGTTGAGTCCCCTTCTCATCCAGAATGCTAGATTCTACGTTTTTTCCTCCACACTCTTGTCTTCTCCTTTTTCCATGTCTCTTGTACAATCGAATCTTCACCAAACAACCTCTCCACTCTCTTTACGTCTTTTTGGGTCTCCATCATCATTCCTCTGCTCTTCACATCTAGGACACTGTTTATCAATACCAACAAGCGTTTAACTCAGTAAAAATTGTACTAGTTTATTCAAAGCTCTCAAATTATTTAAATCCCACGTTAAATATCTGTTAAAAAGTTTGTCATCACACAACGCTTATCATTATGATTCTATCTAACTTGATTTTGATTAGTTGGAGCCCTGGATAATTAAAAAAACTGTTTTGTGATAATTTGAACAAGTGGCTTCCACACGGGTGAAACAACATTCAAATATTTAAACCAGCTCCAAGAAGCACATGGAATCTTAAGCTGACATGGAATCACTAAGACTGAGAGTCTGTCCCCATCCCTGTAACAGGCCAACAAAAAACGAATTGGGACCGGGTTGACCCGTGTGATAAATAGTCCGACGTTGAAGTTGGTCGGAGTTGACTTGCAGACGAAACCAGCTTCTCCCCGAGCTTTTTGGAGGAGCCATGATGTAATAATCATCAAAGTAGTTGTTGGAGGGCGGTACTCTTTCATGCCGTACAAACACGAGTCGATTTTATCGCAAAAGCATGTTTAAGGCTTTGATTAAACAAATAACCGCCATTAATGTCCGATGAACGTGGAACCAAAGAACTCATTCTAGGGACATGGAAGACATTAAGCTAAACGCTGAGGGCGGATGGGTGACATTATGCATTGAAACGTTGCGTTTTGCAGCGACAGGCGTCACCTAGTGCAACGATTCCGATCTAAGCCACGTAAGCTGACATTTCAAGAACAGGCCGCAAAGCGCTCCAAGCATCAAACGCTGCGTTTTGAGGCAACTGAGAATTACGTGGCAGGAGGTCTGACTTCGCTGACATCGACACTTGGATTGCGTGGTAGTAGTTGAATTGCTCGCGAGTTCACCCATTAGCAAACCGAAGGAGTTTTGTAAGTGACTTTCTTATTTAGTCCATTAAATACGAGTACATGACAAGTTCTCACTTTTAATTAACATTTTTATAATTATTTTTTCACAAATCTCATCAACAATAATAAAATATGGCTTACTTTACTTTCAATAGTTATTTATATTCTATAATTATCATTTTTATTTTTATCTCTTCTCGCTACTTTTTCCTTTTGATTCTAAATTTCTTCACTTGAAATTGTGTTCAAATCAACATATTTTTTAATGAAAAAATTTCTATTATGTTATTAGTGGGGAAAATATAGTTGAATTTTAATTAAAAAAATAAATTAACAATAGTTCTATCTTCAAAGAAAAGATTAAAAAGCAATAAGAGTAGGTTTATTTATACCTAACTACAAAAAAGGCCCCTATTGCTTTCTCTTTTCTAAGAATTAATTAGCAATACTACCTAGCACAATTAATCATTTTCAAGTCCATTGACAATTGAGCTTGAGAAATTGACAATCATTTTCAAGTCCATTGACAATTGAGCTTGAGAAATTGCCCATAATTGTCAATGGACATGAGAATCATCAATTGTGCTAAATGAAACTTGTATATAATTCTTTTTCTTCCTCCTCTGGTCACTGCCATTCCCCCTATTTAAAATGAGTCAACAAGACAAATAGTTCGATACCAAGCATTCAATCCTGCTCGCTACTTCAAACAATGGTTGTCAATAGACATGAAAATAATTAATTGTGATAAATGAGACTTGTATATAATTCTCTTTCTCCTCTGGTGTCTGCTATTCTCCCTATTTAAAATGAGTCGACAAGTCAAATAGTTCAATTCCAGCCATTCAATCCTGTTCGCTAGTTCAAACATTTAGCTTACCCTTATCCTCATGTAAAAAATTACAATCTCATTTGATGATATATCTTTTATAATTTGCTATATAATTAAAGATGATAAGCCAGCACAAATGCCAAGTATCCAATTTAATTTTCATTTTAAACATGTACAGTAGGAGCAGGCCAGTCAACAGCACAAATCTACTTATTCAATGAATGTCCCACGCAATACATCAATAATCGTCAGTTTTTTATTCGATTTATTTTATCTTCAACGCCTTCAAACCAAACTTACAGCGTTTTTATTCTATGCTGGTCATGCTACTTCCTTTCACTGTTGGTGAAACGATAGAGGTGAAGGAGGGAGAACCCAAGTGATGGAAGAGCACAAGAAGATCAATGAGCTATCACAGTCTAGTACTAATCAAAGAGGGAGCGGCGAATGAATGAATGAATGTATATATATATAGAGAGAGAGAGAGAGAGAGAGTGAGAGAGAGAGAGAGGACCACAAGAACTATACCACATCCCAATATGATTTATTTTAGTCGCTCCATCATTCTCATGGTTTAAGTACTGGGCAGATTCAGTCATGCATTATGATGAAACTTATATTCTCTTGTCAACAAATTAAAATGCTCATCATAACCTCTTAAACCCAAAAACAAGAGTCCATCAACTTTCATGCTACATCTTTCGGCTTGTTTTCCTTCTTAATTATCCCTGTTAATTTCAAAACATACCTCTCTACGCAAGAGCACCTATTTTTTTGATCAAACTCGTTTTCCTGTTATGAATGTTCCGCAATTTCTTTAATTGACCTAAAGTAGTTTAATCAGCAGCTTTAAGGCATTTCACTTTCTTTCAATCACTCATATAGCTCCGTCATGTACACTAACTCTTGATTTGGATGACAGAGAATTAGAGAATAAACAATACTAGGAAACAAAAAGACTTAAAAAATAGAAAACATTTTCACAATTTAATTTTTGGAAATTTTCCTGTCTAGTATTTCTTTCCTATGTTTTCTTCCCATTTTCACCCTGTCCAAATCAAGCCAGTATGTACATATTTAAGCAGCAGTTAAAAACCATAATAACGAGCCGAGAGATTCTGTAATGAACCTCGTACAAATACTTGGGATCCTTGTTGAATCTACTTTCATGTCCGAATCTCCCCTTCATTGCAATGGTAGTAGTGGATTTGTGTGTTTAGTTATACATATTCTTGTTTTGAATTTGAACTCAAACACCCACATACCAGATTAATGTAAAGGATTCGACAGTCAAAATAAAAGAGAAAGATCAAGGGGCAAACTCAAATAGAAAAAAGTGGGAATATAAAAATTAGAGAGGAGATAAATGTAACATTATTGTCAGACGAGTATATCATGGATGTATTTATCCTACATCCTGCATGAGTTTTCTTTCAGTTTCTCTGATTTTTTTAACCCCCATTTTTTATTTTAAAAAATTAGTTCAAATTCTAGAAATAAAACGCACGCTATGTAACAGAAATCATTTGTAACCCCCATTTCCTCCCGAGTATCACTGACATCAGAACATCTGCTTCAGTTCTTCCATGCCTTATCCTTTATGGAAGAGTTATATTATATGCAACCTCACCTTATTAACAAAGTAGTTAAAACAGACATTGAAGTTCAGAAACTTCAGATTCTAGTACCCCACCACAAGATAATGTAAGGACAACGATAATGAGGAAGAGAAAGAAAAACACAAACTCAAAAGTTCCGCATAGCTCAGTGAATGAATGACGGGAAGCAGAAAAAGTTTGGCGGAGACGCAAAAGACTGGGAGTAGAATAGTAGTGAGCAACAAGCAAAGCCGTATAGAAAGACATGGAAAAAAACGAATTCAGCCTCAGAAACACGTTTAAGGTTTCGAGAAAGTTTCTACTTCCAACTGTCTTAGGATATACTGTAGAGTTTGTGTTCGCAAACCTTCTAAAGGTGGTCTTTTTTTTTATTATTTTAAGTTTAGCTTCGTCGTGATCATGAGCTGCTAATAACCAAGTCATCGTCTTTTTCTCTGTTGATATCATATATCTAAGCAAAACTTCCTAATTAAATCCAAATGCAAACACCTTTGCCTGCACCATCTATATATGTTAGACAGCCACCTGTGCTGAAATAAATGCTAATACATGACATTCACAGTTAAAAGAAACCGCTGAAATTAAATCAGTTCAGGAACAATAAATTGCTCTAATCTGAGCGGAACCGTACGTACGTTCATTTTAAACACCGATACCATTCAAAGGTATACAGCCCCACGGTTCTCCCCAATGTTAAAAACGAAAACGGGATGAGATGACGATGAAGAAGAAGAAAGAGAGAGAGAATGAAACCCTAAGATCCTGAGCTAGTGCTAGACTTCTCTCAGAAGACAGTCAGAAACACAATTTCCCATCTTTGAACTCGACTTCAAACAACGAAGAAACAACCCAATATTGCTCATTTTTCATCTCAAGAAGCAAGAGAAAGAGTTACCAAGGAGATAGATACAACGCAGGGGGGGGTGAGTGAGGACATTATGTAGGAGCGCTTTGGAGTAAATCATGTCTAGGGCTTCTTACCAAGAGTGTGCTTGTTGTTATGCATCCAAACCTTGAGAACGTGACGCTTCACGCCCGTCTCGTTACAGAACTGCTGGACCACAGCCTCGTCGTGCTTCTGAATCCTCCAACCCAGACTCTCAGCCAAGGCCAGCATTTTGTCTTTTTGCTCCTGCGAGAATTTCGTCCTGAACCTCTTCTTCGACCCGTCCCCTCCTCCACCTCCTCCTGCACTTGGATTCGAAACGTCCTCTTGATCGTCCCTCGTGCTCTGGGTCCCGCACCCTGCTCCCGACGTCGACGGCAGCGCCAGCGTTGCCCCCCTCTGCGGTCCTCCCAAGTGCAAATATCCCGCCGGCGCTGTCCTGTAATACGGCGAGAACTGAGGCGGCTGGTGCTGGTGGAGATGCGGGTGGTGGGTCAACAAAAACGGGTCCCCGACTCCGATACCGATCGTGTCCGTCTCCTTGCGGTGAAAATTACGGTGGCAGTTACAGCGGCGCATTTGAGGGCGTCCATCGTGCCTTCCACTCCGGCCGGAAGGAACTCACCGCAGCCGTCGAGCGCGTGGCCTCCGATGCTCACCGCGTGGTTCTTCAAGCACTCTCTATACCTCGCCTTGCTGTTACTATTCCTCGAGGCCTGGACCACCATCACTTCTCCGCCACTCGCCATTTTCAGCCGGGTCGGGTTCCCCATCGAGTCGTAACTCCCGGCGGGCCCCATCCCGAGTTCCTCATCTTGCTCCTCAAAATCCATGTCCTGCTCCTCCGTCGAATTCAAACCAATCCACACTTGAAAGCGAAGTGGCAGTGCCTAGAACGGAAAGCGAGAGAGAAGGTAAGGCCACCAATTTCTCTGACCCAGCAGGGAAAGAACCATGAAAAGAAATCAATCCTCATTCATTCCTTCATTGATATACTTTAGCTGTTTATGTTGTGCCCCCCCTGCGATAATCCATCTGATCTATTCTCAAATCTTTCCACCGGCTATAACCGGTGACCCGGTAATCTTAACCTGTTTTCGGTCGTATTCCTAAAATTATATCTGTCCGTATAGTGATTTTACTGAAGCCCGAGTTTTTTTACTGTGGGGGCACAGTAGTTGTTAGTATCAGTGTACTGCAGCAGAAGCAGGAAAGAACGTGAGCTGATGAACGAGAAAAAAATGGAAAAAAAGGAGAGAGAGAGAGACAGTGAAGACATGTGCATACATACGCGCTTCACCAAACGCCGATGAGGAACCCTGAAACCCTGCGAGTCAATATCAGGGGTTCCTGAGCGCACGCATTCCCGTACCTGAACCGAACTGACGTGGGTGGGACCCGACTGGGTGGTAGAGGTGACGGTGGCGCGTGGGGCGGTGATCGAGTGTTTCCTGTTTCCAGAGAGGAGGATGAGGATGAGAGAGAGGTGGTATGGGGTGGCGGGTTGGAGGAGAAGGAGAAGAGAGAGAATGGGTGGGGTTGGAGGATAGAGACAACTAGACAAGGGAGTTACATCGGAAAATAAATATAAATTGTCGGCATTAATGGTTGCTGCTGCTCCGTGTGGTCTTCTCCGACATACCTGACGCTCTTTTTTGCGTCAACAACATCCATTCTTTTTTTCTTAATATTTTCCATTTAATGTTACCCAAAAATAATAATAATATTTTCACTTTAAAAATTAAAACTAGTACTGCTCCCAAACGCAAATGGATTTACGTACTGTCAAATTCATAAGTATTTCGTTTCTTTTCTGTGATTAAAGTAGCTGCTGATAAATTTTTAACTGGTGCTGTCAGTTCATGTCGTCTATCAGTGAAAGAGATTACTAATAGTAAATGATTAATTTGTTTTTAAATCCCAAATTGAAGGATTAAAAACCTTAAATCATGAGTCAATTATTACGCACATTAAGTGTTAAATTCGACCAGTTCGGTGGCGGAACCATAAATGAAGTGTGCACTCTACACCAGGCGGAACATTTAACCCATGAATCCGAAGACTTTCGGGGTAGTCTTTCTTCGAAATTTGGAATTTTTTTTTTTAAATTGTTGACTTGTACTATCATCCCACTAAACTTAACCCCATCAATATATTTAAAGTGTTTTTTGTGTTACTACCTCTGAATTATTTTATTATTATAAAAAAATCATTATATTTATTATTATTATTTTCTATAAAAAATATTATAAATTTCATGACGTATTTATTACAATTTTTCAAATTGTTTCTTATATGTAGATAATATCATTAAATTAAATTAGTGTTTGACAAAAATAAAAAGGGATGTTGCAAGATGTGCCAGAGATGCAATTTTTTAAAAGAATGAAAAAATCTAATATCTAATCAAACATGAAGAGTTCGAATTCCCTTATCATAATTCACCCGAATGTGAGTATGTAAAGTAAAAAAAATTAATGCAAATACCAAAAAGCATATATATACATTAATTAAAGAAAGAGGTGGTGGGACTATGCCTGCTGTATAATGAAAAATAAAGAGCAAAATTATATAATAAAAGAAAAAATAAAATAAAGTAGTAGTTGTGGAGTTTGTAAATTGGATTGACAGTTTGTTGATGCTGGTGATGATTGTTGATAGAGGGCTCCTCTATTTATAGATGATCCTAATTTGGTGCCCAAATCTCATGATCATCAGTTTCCTTGAATTTAAAAATTATTTCCTCCATCATAGTTACTCATCATGGGTGGAATGCAGATAGTTTTAACCTAATAACTAAGATCATATTTTTTTAATTATTTTAAAGTCAATTAAATTGAGTTGAGTTGAGTTTGGGCCTCAAAAATTACCATGCAAACAATTAAAAATTAAAGTAAACATGGATTGCAAGGCCATTTGGTCTAAACTTTTTAATTCTGACATGATTATCATGATCAATCAATTTTTTTTATATTGTGTGAAAGTTGATTAAAATTTACTTATATTTACAAAAACAGAGAGAGTATCTTAGCATCCAAAATTTCAGCCTTTCGTTACAACTAATAGTCGCAGCAATTTCATGTAACTCACTTAAATGAAGGATCGAAATTTTGGGTATTAGGAAGGGTATTAGAGAGATAGTAAACTATCCAAGCCCCCCTTTTTGACTTGAGAAGGATTGGGAAGTTGAATGAGGGAAAAACGACCATCAAAGTTGATTTAATGAGGTAAACGACGTGAGTTTTTGGGAAGAATTGCGTAGGGGGCCGGGGTGCTGCAGGGTTGAGGGGTCAGCATCTTCACCAACTAGAGGGCAGATAGAAGAAAGAAAGAGACATTAGATATGCACACACACACACACACACACAGATATATATATATATATATATATCCATGAGATGGAAGCCTCACAATCTAGAGAAAGTATCTGGGCAAATAAGGAGCCATTGTCCTTCCCTTCTCTCGAAAACACCATCTAAACCACCCAAAACACCTGCAAAAGAAAAGAACACGCACGCATGCGCGCTTGTTCTTTTTATTTTGGGTTTTGGTTTGTACAAAATGGTAAAAACATAAATAGTAATAATCAAGATAATTGGACAATATCTCAATAATCTTGTAACTTGATGGTAATATCATGAACCCCACTATCGGAGGACGGTCACGGTTCAATTCCATTTGTATCCTCAATTTGCTAGTGGCTGTCCTAAATAACACTGAAAAGAATCAATGTGAAGGGCAAGCTAGAAGAAAAATATTCGGGTGGGGCCACACACACACACCCACCTTTCGATTGAATAACTTAGATAGTAGAAAAAGCCAGCTAGAGTATAACTATAGGTATGTGACAATAGGGTTGCACAAAGCAAGTTTGACGTCTGACTCAATGAGCCAAGTGACACGAGCTCATAATAATTTGCTTATATACCCAGCGGCGAGAAACAAATCGAAGCCATATCTGCCTTCACCCTTTTCCACAAAAAAAGCCAAAGCAAAATGAAACGCTTGTTATCTTATATGACTACGAGGCTCGCTGTAAGCAAGAAGCACGCAAAAAAGAAAAAAATAATAATAATAAATTATTGGGTGTATAAAATTTGTACTAATTTAATACCGAAATATAATTGTCGGTTTGAATACGATAGTACAAATAAATTCATCAAGAAGTTTCAAAAATTTTTAAAGACAAGTATTTGAAAACGGAAGTGATGGCAATCAAATCACATCAAAATCAGGGAATGGGCAAATAGCAGGTGGCAGGAAAAAAATAATAATAATCCTATTACAAAGATCAAACAACTCACCACCCCTGCCGTTGGATCGATCTGGATTATATATGATTATATTATTATTATTATTATTATTATTTTCTTCTTCGACTGGTTTTCTAAATCCAAAAAAGAGTACTGTTTCTGGGTGTTCCCATACCTGCTAGGACACAATGTTTTTTGGACTATTATGGAGAGAAAGTTAGGCAGTCAAAAAAAACAAAGAAAGGGTTTTCGTAAAGACAGGAAATTATGGCCACCTCACACGGCGCATGTCAATTTAACAGCGTCCTTGTCGTTTCATGTATATTTGCTGACAAAATATCAAAGATCTTGGATTCAAATCAAGCAAACACTAATTAACAATCATAATGATATCATATAAAGTAAATATCGCAATAATGGCTAAACAAGAGAGGTGACTTCTTTCTAATTCTTTTACATAACCCAAGACGCATAACACGTACATACGTACGCCAACTTATTATGGACTGCTCTATGGCATGCCCAGCCAAACATGCAGGTCAAACTTAAGATCATTGCGGACCATTAGAATTGGTACCAAAGGGGCTCAACTCAGCTCCCTCATAGTTCCAAGCGTAATGTTATATACTTGTAAGTGTTGTAGTTTATGTCTGACTTGGTCAAATGAAAAGTTTCGCGTTGTCCTGAGTAAGAGGCGCTACGAGAGTGTAAATAAGAAAGAAGAAGAAGAAGAAGTACATCTTGGGCTATAGATGGACATGGAGGAAGGGGATTTGGATTGTGTAAATTAAAGGCAGTCTCTAATTTAATCTCTAATTATTCAGTTTATTTTCCGTCCTAATCATGTTTAAACCCAGCATCCAAAAATTGTCATGTTTAATTGTCATTAATGTCTAATAATGTTTATGGTGCCCAAAGTTCTTGTCTAGATGATCGTGAATTCACATTTGCCCGGTTCTTGAGTCCTTGAGCCTCTTCTTTCCTCCTCATATTGCCAGAGTTGTATTATGATTATTGTTTTTGCTGTTATATGCTCCTATTCTTTGTGTAGGAAGACACTGTTTAATCTACATTGCTGTCATGAAATATTGAAATAGCTATTGAAGACAGTATCTTTAAGCACTGCTTATTTCCCTTAATTACTAAATCACTGCTACTAATAATAAATACATATATATTTAACACAAATTTAAGCTAAGAATATCAAGTCAAATTAAGGACATGGGCTTTTTTTGGGGATGATGGACAAGTCTCCATAAATTACTTTTTCGATAACTGAGTTAAAAATGTTCAGAAATTTTAATTACAAATAAATCATTTCATTTTCAAATGTTATTATTCTATATTAACAAGACGAATTTAACAAAAAATATTAATTTTTTGCAAGTTCACAAAACGACAAAATAAGATTTGAATTCCCATTAAAAATGTACTTATATTTAATCGCCAATTGTACTTGAAATATAATATTACAGTCTTCAACACAAGAATATATATAAAAAAAAGAAGAATTACATTTAAAAACTTGAAAAGATGATTATTTATGAACAAAAACTAATATATAATAGATTATTATTAAAATAAAAAATTAATTTTTTAACGAAATTTATTATTAATTTTTGTTTAGGAATTGTTTTCTTCGAATTCTTAGATTTGGTTCTCTCTAAAAAAAAATTGTAACTAGTGTGTGTGTGTGTGTGTGTGTGTGTAATTGAATGGAATTTTTTACACGAATGCAATGGATGTGAGGGTCCCGAAACAGGGAGAAGGGAGCGAAGGACATCTGATGCGACGTCCTGACACTCGCCTTCAGCCTCACACCTTCTCTCTCTACCTCTCTTTGTCCTCTTTCTCTCCCATTCTTCTTTCCTCTTCTTATCATCTGCATCTCTATTTTCTCACTAAAATCTCTACAGGTTTATGTCATTTGGGTCGAACCTTGCGATTATTAACCCGCTTCTCACGCTGTAAAGACTCATTTATATGCTGATAGAATGTTCACATGGCTAATCAAATTTTAATTCACGAGTTCATTAAATATGATTTACTTGTGTCATCATCATAGTAATTTTCCTAGGCTTCATAATATATATATTACGCTTCTTTCTTTACTTTTGAAATATTATCACATAAATTTTCTTACTCTTGCCTCTTGCATGTAACTTCTTAACGCATTACACAAATTAAAAATTACAACTGATAATAAGAGTCTGTCGGGTCTTTTTGAGCTGCCTTTAAAAAAATTAAACCA